GTGTGGTAATGATTGGGTTTTTCAACAGGACAATGCTGCAGTTCACAATGCCCGCCTGACAAAGGACTTCTTCCAAGAGAATAACATCACTCTTTTGGACCATCCTGCATGTTCCCCGGATCTAAAGCCAACTGAGAACATTTGGGGATGGATGGCAAGGGAAGTTTACAAAAATGGACCTCAGTTCCAGACAGTGGATGTCCTTCATGAAGCCATCTTCAACACTTGGAGCAACGTTCCCACTAGCCTCCTGGAAACACTGGCATCAAGCATGTCTAAACCATTGTTTGAAGTCATCAACAAGAATGGTGGCGCTACTCATTACTGAGTCCTTTTTGTGACACTTTGATTTCTGTTTTCAGGTTGTTGTTTTTTTAGCTATGGTCTTAAACTTTTGATCAGCTGAAAAAAATCATGTTTGAGTGTAAATACAGTTTTCAGAAAATTCCCTGCTCAAAAGTTCTTGTCTCTTGCACTGATTTCTTCTTTTAACATTGTGAAGCTCTACTTAGAACCTTCTTAAGATCCAATAGTGCAAAATGCAAATTCTTGCACTTTTTTGACTGGTCTTAAGATTTTGATTAGGAGTGTGTATAAATATGACTGGCTGCAAAATAAAAGAATCTTCAATAATAAACATTTTATTGATTTTTAAGTTTTCTTCTAAAACAGGTACTCGGGGCTCCATGCAGCAAGGTTGGGGTCCCCAGGGGCCCATGGTTGGCAACGTGGGGCCCATGATGGCCCAGGGATTTGGCCGCATGGTCCCAAACATGAACTCTGCGCTCCCCACCAGAGGCAGCGCTCCACCCGTGTCCAGAGCCATGGCCAGCATGCAAATGATGAGCAATGGTGCGACGAAATGAAAACACAAATTAAAATCACATCRAAGAGTTTCCTTTAGGTTTTTATACGGTTGTGCCTCTGTTATCCACGCAGACCTGGACATGGCCGCCCCTCCATACCATTCGCAGCATGCTCCGCCCAATCAGACAGCCCCATGGCCAGATCGAATGATGATGGATCATTATGGGAACCACAGCAGGTGTGTTGGTTCTGTTGACCCTGAAGCATCAGGAACCCCCAGGAGGATTAGTTCGGGTCCAGTTTGGTAACTGTTTGTCACCTTGCAGGCCGTCGTACGGCGTTCCTCAGGAGGACGGGATGGCTTGTTGTGGCTCTGGGCCTGAAGGCCACGCAGACGAGGGCGCTCTGCTGAACCAGCTGTGCTCCATGCTGAAGGACTACGAGGGTCTGGAGGAAATCGACAAGATGCTGGGGATCCCAACGCTAGCAGGACAGGTGGGATTATTGTAGCAGATTCACTCATAAAACAAAGTTTAGTCCTTCACCMAGTCTAACCAGGAGCAGTTTAGTTTGTCACATTTAATCTTTGCTCTACCTTTGCTGCAATTTGTCTATTGATAAAATTTGGGATATTTTGCCTTTAAACTGGTAACATTTCATTGCTCCACTGTGTAATAAGACAGGGTGTMGAGCAGGGTTATTATAGTTAACTAAAACTAACTAAATAACGAAAACTGAAATAAAAAAAACATTTTAGTTAACTAAAATAAATAAAACCTCTAATAAAATGGAAAAAAATAACTAACTATAAACTGTATAATGTTTTTACAAAACTAACTAAAATTAACTGAAACTATAGATCAGGGGCTAACGCTTTCTTTTATGGTACCCTATTACCATGTAATTACAAGGTAATAAAAGAGTAATTAAATGTGATTACTAACTTATTACCATATAATTACAAGGAAATAAAAAATGCAAATAAATGTTAATTACTAACTTATTACATGTAATTACAAGGTTATAAAAATGGTAATAAAATATAATTACTACCTTATTACCATGTATTTACGTGGTAATTAGGGTGCAAAAACTACTGTTGGTAAAACTACTTTTATTGGGTAACTACAATCAAATTCAATAGTAACTCAAAACTATATTTATAACCAAAAGAATACAACTAAATTTTGGGGTTAGTGGTTAATTGCAATAAAATATAACTTTGAAACTGTCCAAATTACTTATTTAGGTGTTACATGGTGAATTGTGAAACATTACCAGGTAAGTGCTACATTACTGCAGACARTTACATAGTACAATTGTACCCTAATTACCATGTAATTATATGGTAATAAGGGTACCGTAAAAGAAAGCGTTACCGATCAGGGATWGTCAATCCTGGTCCTGGAGGTCCRCAGCCCTGCATGTTTTACTTGTTCCTCTGCTCCAACACACCTGTTTTGAATGAACGGATGATTTTCAGGCTTCTGCAGAACTTAGAAGAGGGAATTCACTGACTGAATCAGTTATACCAATAATAACTAATAAAAACTAGCAAATCCACTGTAAAAACTAATTAAAATTAACTGAAGTAAATTGAAAAAAAGTCACAACGAAATAAAACTAAACTATAAAGAAAAATCCCAAACTACTATAATCTTGATGTAGAGGAGAAAAATCATTTAGAAACAAAAAATATGGGGGAAACTGATTTCGTGAAGCCCTACGACGCATTAAAAGTACACAAACAAAAGTCAAATAAAAGGTTATAAATAAATCAGTATCAATAATTTGATCTGAATCTCTGTGATTAATGCTAAAAGTGTTAAAGCCAGTGTAGAAAAACACATTTAATCAGCGTTAGGGTTTCCTTACAGGGTCCTCTATCAGACCAGGAGCAGTACCTGGGCTCCTCAGAACCTCCATCCAGTCTGAAGCCTCCCCTCTACAGTCAACACTACGGTGGGCAGCCAGGTTACGGCAGCATGCCCCCTGATGCCGGGTACTCCACTCCATCCATGGGCGGCCACWTGGGGCCTCAAAGAATGGGACCCGCAGGATACCCCCCTATGATGAGAATGCCTGGTGGCCCGGGACCACGACCACCTGGCATGAGACCTGGGGGGCCCAGTTCAATAGTACCCCCACAGCCAAACAACCTGAGGCTGCAGCTACAGCACCGACTCCAGGCCCAGCTGGTAGGTGGCACCAAATAGTGAGATTTTTAGCCTTTTTAAGCATCAGAAATGATCGTAGCTTATTTTATTTTATTTTTTAAACATCACACATTTCTGTTTATTTATTTATTTTTGTTGCACCATGATTTTGTTGTCATAAAATCAGTCACCCCTCACTTGTTTGAGTGTTGTGTTGTGTTGTGTGAGGACTGAGTGTGAGCGTTGCTGCCACCTGGTGGAGAGCAGAGGTGGTGCAGCTTGTGTTAACGTGACGGCACCTTTTTGTTTCTATTTCTGCTGCACAAATATTTACAAAACCCAAAGGTTTTGATTTAAAACGAGGAGCAAACAGCACTAATAAACCCATCTTAAAACTGTTTGTTGTTATAAAATACTTTATAAGTTGTTTTTCTATATTCAGTGTTCTCTGCAGAGTTTGTTGATTTATAAAAGCTTGAAACTTTTCTTTTGACTTGAAAGAGCAAAACATYAACTACAGAAACAAAGTCCAGTTGCCTTGTTGTAACACTTAAGATTAGTTGCAGAGTTGTGCTAGTTATGTATTAGCCAATCATGATGAATCAACGTCTGAAAGTATATCAGCTAATACCCAGACTACACCTCCAAACAGGGCAGTAAACCATTATTAAATAAGGTATAGTGTTATTAATTTWATTTTAAATGAGTTATCTTGACATTTAGTTTTGCACTATGAAGTTTTAATAGAAAAACTTTGGCTGTTATTTGATTTTTGTTGCTTTTTGTTTAGAATCGTCAGCCAATGGTGAACCAGATGGGCGGAGTTTCCAATWTGAATCTACCTCTAAGGTCTAATGTACCAAACCAGGTGAGTTCCTGTCATAAACGCAAACGACTTTCCTCTTTTTTTACATTTTAAATAATATCCTCGACACTGTTTACACCTGGTTGTGTTTCTCTGGGAGGTGATTTTGATTCCGTGTTTCTCTTCTGGGTGTTTCTGCTGCAGGGAACTCTCAACGCCCAGATGCTGGCCCAGCGTCAGCGCGAGTACCTCAGCAACCACCTCCGTCAGCGTCAGCAGCAGCAGCACATGCACCAGCAGCGCACCATGATGATGCGGGCGCAGGGCATAAACCTGCCGCCGAGCATGCCTGGCGGGGGCGCCGCCGCCGCCACGCCCATGCCGATGGGCGGCACCAACCCCCGGGTGCCCCAGGGCAACCTGCAGCGGTTTCCCTACCCGGCCTCCAGCTATGGTACAGGCCTGCCCTCTCCTCCTCCTCCTCCTCCACCTCATCCCGGCTCCTCCAGCCCCTTCTCCTCCCCTCTCTCCCCCAGTCATCTTCTGGCAAGCCAGGGCATGATGGGAAATGTAGGCGGGCAGTACAGCGGTGTAATGAGCCCATCACAGCACAGTGCCTTCCAGTTCAGCAGCTCAGGTATAAGATTAAACAGAATCCATGTCTGAGTGGTCTGTGAGGGTCTAATCACTTTCTCTTTTTATTGTCACAAAAATCACATCTTTTCTGCGTGGAACCTTTTACTTCCTTAACCTTTAGCTCTCTGGTACTATGACACAGTATGAGGGCAAAAAATAAGACTATTGTGCAACCAGCTATTGCTACATCTTTGTAGCAGGAGGCTATATCTGATCCTAATCCAGCTATTGATCTGATTAATGATAGGCTGGCACCGCTAACTGAGAGGTTGACTCTGGCAAATGAGAAGGAGACTATTCATTTGTGTTAGCATTGGAGAGGCTAGCAACTAGCATGGATATGCTGGTGTTAGCGTAGGAGAGGCTAGTGACTAGCATGGATAACCTGGCATTAGCATTGGAGAGGCTAGCAACTAGCATGGATCTGCTGGTGTTATCATTGCAGAAGCTATTATTTTTTTAT